CCGGTTTCGCTTGTGGGGGGGGGGGGGCTTGCTGTTCTCGGGGCCCCAGCACTGCTACGAATGTAACAGTATCGATTAACCAATAAGCAAAAGCTTATAGATTAATGTTACAGACTACATGCATTCCCCGCCTCCCTGCCCCAGTACATTTTTTTTAGCAGGTTGGCCAACAGCCCAGCTCAGTTCTGCTTCATGCTGAGTCCAGGACCTATCCTTGCTTCAGCTCTGCATTTCAAGTGTATTAGGAACTGGGTAGGTGGGCAGGCAGCCCGGCTCAGTTCAAGCTTGTGCTGGGTCCAGGAGCACAGCCCTGCCCCCAGGACAGGGGCTGCTGCCACCCTGCGCTGCTGCCTCTGTAACAGAAGCAGCAGCACAAGTCAACAGGCAACCAGTCCATAAGGGGAGTTGGTTTTTAAACTGGTTCCCCTTGCAGATCAGCTCCCTCCAGACACCCCATGCTGCTGCCTCTGATACAAAGGTAGCAGCATGGAGTGGCAGGGGGCTCTTTGGGAGTAGGGCCAGGGTGCACTAGCTGCCAGCTCCACTCCTGAGAACTACAGAATAGTCGACTAACTGATAAGAATTCATTAGGTTAATCAACTATTCAATGAACTGATATTTAACAACCCTAGCTGCTACTTTATCGGTGAGTAGACTAGAGGAACAGGAATGTGGGGGCAAAAGGGGGTGTGTGAGAGGATGCAGTGGCAGGATGGGAGAGGGTATGGGTTGCACTAAAGGGCATGGGGCAATGCAGCAGATCAGGCTGGGAGGGTGGAGATCATGGGGCTGAGGGGAGTGAGGCTGGAGCAGAGGGAACATGTGGGGGGGGGGAGAATACAATTTTACTTTGCAGAAGCTGCATTTTCCTTTACTCCCCACTTCTTCACCTACCTCCCCAACTAGCTATTTGGCTGCATTCTCACCCTCTCACCTTTTCTGCATTACTCCCCCAATCACTTCCCACCCCCAAACTCCCTTTCATACCCCCACACAACCCTGCTGCCAAACTCCATTCCAGACCCTGCCTTCCTCACTGTCCTGCACCCCACCTCCCACATCTCTATCCCATTCACTGAACCCCTCATTTTTGTTCCCACTCCAGAGCCTAAGGGGGTCCCCAAAATCCACTAACTCTGAAACCCCAGAAAAGTAAATCTGGCCTATGCGAAGCCCTGAATCTCAGTCCTCCCTGTCCCTTTCCCTCATCCTGTGGGGGCTGGAGTGTCAGAGGATTGAGGTATCTCAGTTGGGGTTGGAGGAGTTTTTTTGCTTCTCACATGTATGATCCCCAACTGATTTTTCAGTGAACCCCAACCCAAAAAAGGTTTTCCACCCTGCCATAAAGAAAGAAAACATGGAAACCATTTGTGTTGGACATAATATTTTACTTTATTTAAAATGAAGTTTGATAAACTAACATGAACAAATTAAAATTCTTTATTTAATAATTTAAATTAAACCATTCTCCCCAGCTGCAGCACTAGTAAAATGGCTTGAGCGTAATTATGTAATTAATGGTGAGTTTCCATGAGCAACTGATAGTCTGCAGAAAGTTTTGCATTGACCCAAGTGGTCCACAGGGCACATGGTGGAGAGAACACCCTCCTACCCCACCCAAGAGAGCGGCACAACCCAGGGAAGGAGGCTTAAATCTTGGCATGCCACTTTGGAAAGGTTGCTGACTCCTGGTGTAGTCCCATTGGAAGTCAAGTGAACTATCTGGACATTGAGTGCTGAATAAGGATCACATTACCCCACATGCTCACACATGAACATATACTTCACTGGTTTGCTGAATTATGGGACATTGTGGATAAAGATCAGGGAGACTTGTAAAGTTGTTACGTTCTGTCCTGCAGGGTTCTTCAAACATCTTTTTTGATCCTGTTCCCATACTTAAAACAGCTTAATTAAAGAGTTAGCAGTTTTAAGAACATGTATAACCTAGAGTTCAAATATTTGTCTCCTGATTACAGGTTGTGCAACTATGCATCCTTAATGATTAGCTGTGAAGTTTTCCCTGTTATAAACAAAGTTTTCATTTATTCTATTCACAATTGTTTAAAACTAATCTTTGAGTACCTCAAGCGATTTCCGAGCACTCTGCAAAAGAGTCAAGCAGTACTTAATCCAGCATCTTGCAATTTCAGCTTTTCTCTGTCGAAGATCCTGCTGGTCTTGTTCTGTTTCATCTGATAAATACACATCACATAGTGCTAAGGAGAAGTGAAATATTCCAGCTCAAATGTTACAAACAATCATTTACATTGGTCAGGATATTTTTCTGTCTTATTA